TTGTTTTCCTCTCTCTCTCAATAATATTGACAGTTTAAACATTTTCAGGTCATGTCCATTTTGTTATTAATCTGTGTTAAGGTCAATTCTAGATTATGACTAAGACTAAAACCGTACAATTTTATCGGTACACTTATTCGGTTAAGATTAGAAGAAAAAAAGATGAGAAAGGCGTCAATTATTTGTTATTTTTCAAGCTGTGTACATTTGTGATGTTATCTAATCTTTTGTAAAGGGTTATATTATGAAATATGTGATATTTCAGTAAATACCAGAAACCGAAAAACTAAGATTTGAATAAATGGAACATATTTCTATTATAGGTCACCAATTCTAATGTTGGTTACTCAGTTAAATACATTTGCGTAAGTGTCATTACACATTCTACTATTTGGAACCTTTCAGCAAGAATTGAATTGTAATTATCGAACTGATCTTTGATCTGGAAATCTAATAATGTCAAAGAATTCACAGCAGATTTAATTTTTTTAAGTGTGAACACAGCCTAACAAAGCATACTTAAACACAATGTTTAACTTGGCTTTTCTCATGTATATTTACTCAAATTCAATGGAACAATAATATAGTTGACTTTTCTTGGGAGGTATATGTGTATAGCAAGGAAATATTTTTCAAGTTGTTTGAAAAAGCCAACTTCAATTTTTTCCTAAAGATTATGATAATTTTCCTCATGGTTTTTAAATCGATTGATCAAGTACTAAATGCCATTTACTTAGTATTGTATTGCAGTTTAACAGCGTATATAAATAGATTTGACAATAGCGACTGTGGCGTAGCGATATATGACAACTACTCAAATTGAATTCATGACCGAAATATTCAATATACAATCATTTTATGTCACTTATTTTCATTAGTAAAAGCGTGAACTGTTAAAAAAAACTATTCAGTGTCAGTGTGATCATTTTGTATATCTCCCAGATTATACCGACAGAGAAAAATATTTGCTTAATGTTGTAAAACGAAATAATAAAGCAAATTATCTCGTCCGAATTCTTCAAATTGCACGACGAATTCAAATTATAGTCTTATGATTTCTTTAGCTCCTCAGTATTGTGAATAATTTTTCATCGCATATCCATTTTCACTGGTATTTAGATTTTTGAAAACGTGTGTTAGTTTTCATAGAAGACATTAATTTATGGCTAGGAGAGGGATAAACGAGCTACATGCCTAGTTCTGTTGTCAGATTCGTTAAGTGAATGCACTTTTTGAGATGGTGGTGAAGATTTGTAGCTCAGATGGATGATTGTGGTGGTGTTTGGTTCTCTGAGCTGGATGTTCTGGTTGTGGAGCTTTCATTGTTCTTCTTCTGAACACAACATCATCAGCACAAACTTTAGATAGAAGTTTGATGTTGTTCAGAAGAACAATGAAAGCTCCACAACCAAAACATCCAGCTCAGAGAACCAAACACCACCACTAGTGAATGCACTATTTGCATACCGATTTTGCTGTTAAAACCCAGTACCTTTTCACTCTGAATATATCATCTTCAGAGCTTTTGAATCCAGTTGGCTTAGTCATTCGTGCAACCGGTATGATATTTACATTATTATCATCAAACGTAAACTCAACTATCATGTTGCTGATGATCTTGGTTGAATTCGGATTTTACCGATTAATTATGAATGACAATTTAGAAAACTACTTGCATTCTCTACCTGACCACTTTTGATTCATATAGAAATTTTCATATAAATATATATATATACATAACCAATCACTGAATTGAATAGTGTGTCATTGTGTTCTACCAAAAGTTTGACTGTTTTAATTTAGTAATTCAGTGTGAATTTTTAAATAAATTCAAGTTTTGATTTTGATTGACTAAATTTCACATTTCTGAAAATGTACTTATTGCACAATTGATTAGTTCTCGCATAATGTCATTGAGTGTGTAGATATACAGTGGTTATGTGCCCAGGCTGAGTGCACAGTTCATAGTGAACATTACATACTCGTGATAAATTTGCTGGAATATTAGAACTATCTTATTCCTGTAATCAATATTTCTAACTAAAATGGACATACACAATTGATGTTTTTTTTAGTGAATTTCCCTTTTTCAAATCAATCAAATAACTAAGTGAAATTGATTATGGGATATAATATTCAGCCTACATAGATATTTTCTGATATATGATGTGCCAAAAAAGAAGTAATGATTATTATCACAGGAAAATATTCTATTTTAAGCATGAATGCACGCCTACTAAAGAAATAATTTATATTACAATTTAACTTCTTATCTATTTTTCTAAGCAATATCCTTCTTTGTATAGATTTGAATGTACATTTTATCGTTAAACTATCAGTAGGAGAATAATTGTAAAAATAGACTGAATCGAGGTAGTTATTTCGTTGTAATCTATAGTTTTATGTGATTTACACAGGATCTAATCCGGGAAATATATCGGAATTCAGTAGTTCATAATTTTAGCCCATAATAATACAATGTCTCTTGTGATTATTTATATATTCTACTATCAACTTGGTTTATTTCATACTTTGCTTAGGATATTCTAACTGCTAATCACGACTAATCAATTCTGAAGAGAATGCGATATTTCATCACACTTTTCCACTTAATAACACTTAATTTCCTTATGTAACTGAACGATGTGTTATTTGCGACAAAATTAATAAAAATTTTAACTGATCAATATTAAAGTGGATTAACGTGAATCATTGCTTTTTGTGTAATACAGTTTTCACGCATGCTGTAGTGAATGAGAACATAGGTGGGGCAACCGAATTGTACTTAACGAAAATTACAGAGTTACTCAGTAAAATCGGAAAACCATATCGTAAATCGTTTATTTGCAAAATATCAGTCCATCATATCGAACTGGACTGTTCCTGTTGGAAAACATCAATCCATTGTCACTATTCATGCGTTTCATACAAATTCCATTGTGTTCTAACTCTTCCTTTGTTGATCTTCCCCCATATTCTGCTGCCAGACATTACGTTGACACTCACGTCATATACTACTTATAAGTAGCTCGCACCACAATGCTATCACTAAAATATTTTCATTTTCTTTATAATCTTGTTATATACACGATAGTGAAGAATATGCAGCATATTTTAAATAAACGAAACATGGATTTTAGGCTTTATTTTTTATCAAGATCTCTTTTGTCCTTATCTTTACTGAAGTATAAGTATTCATGTATTTAAAAATCTATGTAGGTATCTTCTTCTTTACAGTATGGATATATCTTCTAAGTGTCATTCAGTGTTAAATATTCAATAGTGAGAATTTTTGTTTATCTAATTTTAACTTTGTTTTTAATAAAACATTAGTTTGAATTGATGTTTTACAGCCATGCAATAAATAGTCAGTCAATGGTTAAATAAAATGAATTATATGAACACTATAATAATTGACGTTTATCTAAACTGTTCAATAAATAAAGCTTATAATCCATAGTAGTTCACTCACTACTAATCAAATACAATCATTTATACTTGATAATGAGTGTTGAGAATTAATTCTTTGCATGAGATCCAAGTAAACAAAGTGATTATTATTCATAAAAATTTGTCAGATAGTGAGTGATGATCGAAGTTAAAGTCTTTTAATTACCGAGCTATTTACCTCAATAACAAAAAGCATTTGTACATTGACATTTATAAAAATATTATCATTCAATGACCAAAATTTATTTCACTATTGTTTTCAATCTTGACATGTTTACGCCTGTTACCCCCCGATAGAGCATAGGCCACAGACTGGTTATCTCCAACCTACTCTTCTGTCCTAGGCTTGCCTTTCCACTTCTGTCCAATTTTTGTTCATTCTTCTCATGTCTATCTACATTCCTCGGCATAATTTGTGCTCCTTAGCCTTCCTCTTTTCCTTTGTTTTCAATGCAATCACATAAATTTAGAATGCATTACTTCTAAATATGTGAGAAACAAAAAAATACATGCTTCCTTTGAGTAAAGTCAGTCAGTTGCATCGTAGAACTTCGTACGTATGTACATAATTTCAAGTTGCCATACCACATCAGCACAGAAATATAATTGTCAATTCAAATCCCATAGTGATAAAGATAGTAGAGTAATTATTGATAATGAAGAAGACTAGGGTTTGAAGATATTATTCAAGAAGTATAATTCAGTGAGATAAGGTTAGAAAGACAAAGGTAGGGGTGCTGACGAATCCAGAAGATTAGGATTTGAGAGAACACAAAGAATAAATGCACCGGCGCCATTGCAAACGATTTTGAGCCATGTCGTTCAAAGTCTCTAACCATTGATGACTTTCGTCTCGCGGACCCCAACCAGGTAGTCTACATCTACCAACATGACTCAGTCCACTAGTCAATGACTTCATGGATTTGTGCCATGTTTTGGTCTGGCCGCCCCTAGCTTTCTTCAGACCTATTCCTCCTCCACAAAACATAGCTCGTTGAGGCAGACGGTGGTTAGGCATTCGTAACACATGTCCCAACCACCTCAACTGATGAAGTTTCATTACTTCATCTATTGATCTGCCATCCTTACCTAGTACTCGTTTCCTAACGACAGCTTTGCTTACTCAGTTTTCCCATGATATACGAGCAATGCTTCTTAAACATCTATAATCGAATACTAGTAACCTACGAACATCTTCTACTCTTAACGGCCATGTTTCACAGCCATATAGGAGAACGGAGCGAACTGCTGCGCAGTACACCCGTCCTTTGGTTAGCGAACGGATATCACGTCTATGCCATAAGTGACGCAGATTGGCAAAAGCCAATCGAGCTTTCTGTATCCGCGCTGAGATTTCGTCAGTCACCAGGCTATCAGCGCTGATGAGACTCTCTATATAAGTGAAGTGATCAACACACTCGACTACTTCAATCCCTATCACTAGGGAGTGATTTATTTATCTACTAATGAATTGTTGACATTCAAACAAAATATTAAGCTTATCTTATTAATTTATACTTTAATAAATCTTATTCTTATTTTAATTTCAGATAAAATTCATACAGTTATAGAAAATATAACTAAACAAAAAACTTCACTTAATAATCATCATTCAGTTAATTTATTCAATGTTCAAAGCAATCCAGAAGATCGTTCACGTTTACATGATTCATTAGAAAATTTATCAGAACCAATGAAATCACGTCAATTACCATTAAGATTAGCACCATGTTTAAATAAACAAAATTCTTATGATTATTTGATTCATAATGCTAAATTGGATTCAAATAAATCCGCTGACAAATTCTCACATCTAGATAATAGTAGAATAATACATCATCATGATGTTTCTTACAATGAGCAGGAAGTAAACAAAGGCTATTGGGATCCAAGATTGACTACAAGTATAAATCATCGAATCAATTCAAGAGTTTATAAATTTTTAGATGCTGGACTTGATAATGTACACGAAGAATTTGATAATGTAATTGACCAACATGAAGAAGACAATGACTGCGTAGATGGCGATTATCATCGTCATCATAATAATAATAGTGAAATAAAAACCTCGCAAAATGATCACAGTCAATCAGAAACAAATTCTTTCGAGTTAAATAATATTAATAATTATAATGATTCAAATCATACAACACAACAAAATCATCATAAGTCAGGATCATCATCTTCATCTTTATCATTTAAAATATTAGATCCGAAATATTTATTTCAAAGTAAAAAATTAAAGCATAAAAATTCTGAATGTGTAAACGATGTTGAAGGTAGGTTTTGTAACCTCTTTTTATGATTATTTAAAGGTGTAGTTTTGTGTTTTTCGTTCGTTCTAGATAGATCTAGATAGATCTGTTTGGGATGTTAGATCCCCAGAACTCGCTTGATAATTTATTTCATGGACCGATCAGTTAACCTTGAGATCACATTTCCCACTAGGAAAATCATTGGCTATGATTGGTTACTGTGTCATTTTAGTGTGTTATTTTTGTGACTGTCTCAAGGACGTCTCTATAGACTACAAATAAACGCAATTTGAGTGCTTGGATTCATTGTGTGCTGGCTGGGTGTTTGTAGAATACACTTTCTACACTATATGAAGACTTCTTGTTGATTCCCTCTGGTCAAGGGACCACAATAGCCTACCTGGACCCTGGTTCATTGTTTTGTTCTCGTTATTCGACTAAGGTGAACTCGTAATACTTTAAGATTACCTAGAGACGAGCGTAACATATTCATAGTTTCATTCTGACTCCATAGCATGACTATAGCGTCATGAATATATTGAGGAACAGATTCAACTTTAATCAGTGAGCTAATATGCATAATTCTAAGTTCTGATATGAATTTAGAATATTATAGTTAAAAAAGCATTTACAATTCATAGATATATATATGCTGATTGTTTAGATCTTCCAACTGATGTTTAGGACTCCAATGGATCAGTCACTTTTTTTTCGGCCTGTATGCATTTTGTGCGGATTGTTTCAATAGCACCAATAAATCGAAAGCACTTTAGGCTAAGATGACCATTAGTTAACAATGCAATATAGAAGAAGTGTTCTATCCCATTTAAAATTAAAATCCATCTTGTTACACAAGCCAATAGGTATCTGAACCGTATTAAGATCAAGTCTCAGAGTTAATATTATCTCTATGATGTAGGTACGTACAGCTGATAAGTTAAAAACAGGGTGAAACGCACGTCTTTTTTTCCATTACTAGCCTCATTTTAACTTCACTGGAAATACTCAGTTTTATGAAAAGTCCATGAAATAGAAATTAACTACTGAATAATAAGTGTTTAAAAGCTGTTATTTTTATTTCCTAAGACACACTAATTGTTTTTGTTTTAATCAATTAAAGTTATACTATTATTGTTTTTATTTCGTAAAAATCAGAATAATTATTATGCTCAATCGATGAACTAGTGGTTCTGTCTTTGGAATTGATGCGATTGACATTATGAATGTTTCTTGTTCAGATCTTGTTTCATAGGTTCTATAGATGACTTGAGAAACATAGGAATCTAACACTGTTTGATGTTTTACAGGAATTTTCATCGCTATTATGACTTAACTTACACAATTCACCTCAAAAACGTTATCAGTTAATCATCCCATCGTAAGTGACAAAATATATGGTCAATAGTTACACATGAACGGACCTACTGACATATGAATACCTGAAAATCCGGTTCTGGGATCAATAAATCTCAAAATTACATATAACGTTATCAAATAATATATTTATTTATAACTATCGATATTTCATATAAGAATTAATTTTCACCATCCGAAAAACAAGATATTCATATTTTCCGACTCAACTTGACAAATAGGATCGTTTCTGTCTGATGCAGTTATCCAACAACAAAATCCATTGTGAAACTGTGGTGCGCGCTACTTATAAGTAGTATATGACGTGAGTGTAAACGTAATGTCTGGCAGCAGAAGATGGGAGAAGATCAAGAAAGGAAGAGTGGGAACACAATGGAATTTGTATGAAACGCATGAATAGAGAGTGAAATGTCAGACAATGGATTGATGATGAATTGAAGATTTGCAAATTAACCGTTTACGATATGGTTTTCCTATTTCACTGAGTAACTCTGTAATTTTCGTCAAATACAATTCGGTTGCTCTCGCCTGTGTTCTCCTTCACTACAAAACTATAACCATTTAAAATGATGCACTAAGTTTCTACTTGAAAATTGATTTACGCTGTCGGATCTTTTCAAAATAAACATTAATTCCTAGAGTTTACGTAATACAGACGTTTTAACTCCGAAAACTTCAAACTAATCATAATGTTTCATTTTAGCTTCTGTTAAATAATGCATAAAATATTGAGAAATTTTGTTGCCTTTCAGATATTGATAAAACAAAACAGAGATCTGAGAAAAAATTCAATCAACACGAATCAATGCCTCCACCATCAAGTACTACTGTTTTAAAATATTCCAAAAAGCATAAAACTATCGGTAGACGAATTGCGAATTTTTTCTCAGCTCATTCTAAACATCGTAAAATGGATAATAATTCTTCAGCATCCTCTTCAATTCATTCATCTGATTCACCATCAAATGATCGAAATCCTTTAGATGATGATGATGAGTCATCAGAGTTAAGTTTAGGTCAACAATCATCCGGTGAAATTTCGACCAATCACAAACGAATAAATCAAAAAACACATGCATGGTCTCGTGGTATACCAACTGATAAACTTGGTCCACCTTGTAAAACTAGGAAATTAATATCTGTTGGCACTTCACCTACACATTGGAGTGGTGAGTTTATTCATAATAACATTGCTAATAATAATAATAGTGATAACAATACTAATAGCATTTATTTTTTATTTTTATGTTAGAATTTGCTTACATCATGGTCCTTTGAGTTACAGTTTAATTTCAAAAGTAAAAAATTAATTCTTTTAAACAATTGAGGAAACACCTATTGATCTGCTTCAGGTTCAAGGCAAATGAAAAAGGTTTCCTAGTAGACTTTCAGCTATTCTTACTATATTACTTACTTACACCTGTAACCCCTAATGGAATATAGGCTGCCTACCAGTATTCTCCAACCTACTCTGTCCTAGGTTTCCTTTTCTAGTTATGTCCAATTTTTGTTCATGCTGTTCATGTCTGTCTCCATTTCTCGGCGTAATGTGTTTCTTGGCCTTCCTATTTTCCTTTAACTTTGAGGGTTCTAAGTGAGGACTTATCTTGTGACGCAGTTGCGTACTTTCAATTTAATCCCATTCTAACAAGCAACTTCACTGAAATTTTTTGACATTGAATTTCACCCATAATAATACTATAATCCTACTTCACTTAGTTTAACTTTTCTCCACAGATAGAACATGTATTCTTCAAGCATCCAGCAACTACGAGGTCTGAGTCCAGAAGAGAATTAGGACACACATTAACACCGTTAGATACCAGCTCAGTGGTTTATCGGTTAGGGCGTTCGCGCACTACACCGAAGGTCCTGGGTTCGAGTCCTGCGAGGTGCAGGAGTCGTGGATGCGCACTGCTGATGAGTCCCATACCAGGACGAAACGGCCGTCCAGTGCTTCCAGGTTTCTAATGGTGGTCTAACATTGATCGGTTCATGGTTTCAAAAATGTGTAACTTAACAATCTTCACAACCCCGTAATCTAATTTGATTGTTCTATAGTTAACTGTTTGACGTTTGATTCACTTTACAATTTCCTTTTACTTGAATATTCACATACATATTATTATTAAAAAAAAGAATTTATTTTTTAAAAACATAATGTTTGAACTTTCGGTACATTCCTGAACCTTGATCAATAATTTTTTTTGTAAATGTAACAAAAATATACCATCCAACTCAAATGATTCCATGTTATTCTTTTATGATGGTTTTCCTGCATAGCATGTCAACATTTCTCTTAAACGAAACATTATATGACAAAAGTCAATAGACTTTTAATACTTTTACTAGGTATAAGTATAGAGAATAGTTGATATATTTGACACCAGTGTTGTAGATACTACTGACAAGATTAATGTTAAGTAGAATGCGCCAAAGCGTCGCCTGAAAGTATTACGGTTGATTACGGAAGACAGAAGTTTCAAGAAGTGTAGGACGTGGCATGTTCGGAATATATTGAAGGCCTAAAAAAGGAGCGAGAGAAGATATTCTATAACGTGTTTGGATTGTTGAAAGTACAACAAATGCATTTGCATGCTTATAGACTAAATGTACATATTGCAAAATAATCTGTTTTCGTCAAATACATACATTCCAACTGGACTTGTCCTGTTCCTACACAAGAACTTGTCAACAATTTCTAGTGACTGTTAAAGTTTTTTAAGTATCTAACTCTCTTAAGACTTTGGAATAGAGACAGAACTTTAAAACTGATATGCTCGTCAATCGATATGCTTGAATGCTACTGCGAGTTCATCTTACTCGGTAAACGGGACGAAGGCAATGAATAAGTGATACGATAGGCTATTCTAATCCGTTTGTCCCCTGCCCGGCTAACTATATCAAGAAGTCATGATTAGGCGTAGAGAAATGTATTCTACAGGTACTTGGAAAATACTAGGTAGCTAAGCACATAAATCAAGCTTATTTATACAATGATAGCAACACCCTTGGGAGAGTCCGGAATTAGCATCAACCAGTGACAGTCAAGGATTCTCCGAGTGAGAAATGTGAACTGAAAGTCGACGAAGTGTCTTGTGCGCGAAAACATGAAAAAATTCAAATTATCAGAAATAAATAACAGCTTAGAACCTTTTCAAAGTGAGTTTTGGGGATCTAACATCCCCTACAAATACAACAGTTGTCATTGTCTATTTTGAAAGTCTACTCAAATTTAACACAATGTCTCTTTAGCTTAAACGATAATTGCTATAATCTGGTCAATATTTTCTGAAGCTACTAACAATTATGCAACTCAAGAAATCTTCTACCAATGATAAATGTTATTTTCAAATCATATTTACCGGTCGATTTCATTTTTCAAAAACTTATCATTTTTTTTCTCATTAAAGTAAAAATCCAACATACAATGATGATTGATGATAACAATTTGTTTTTTATCGTTGTTTTAATTAACGATTTTCAATAAAAATTCCTTTTTTGTTAGTCTACATCAATTTTTCTTTAAAAAAAACACACAATTCTAAAGAAATTAAGAATATTTCAAATTACTTAGACAGTGGGAAACTATTGATGTATATATATATATATATATATAGATTGTAAGGTTAGTCAATACTTGCTTGTAGGTAATAACTTCTATGACATATATTTTTTTTATGACTGAAAACTTGTCAACTCTCGTCAAACTACCAACTATTAGCATTCTTCACTATGGTAAATCAAACAAACACTGTCATTTTTGGTAAACAAAAATTGCATTATGTAAATTATTCATTCTAATTGCATAAATTTTTTTAATTACTTCAAGTAAAAAAAAAAACATTTCAAGGCAGATGTTAAGCAATGCATTTACAATGCAATAGAGTATGTTGTTATTGTTAAAAATACACTAGATAAAATGTTCAACTTCTCTTTCTCTCGCTCTCTGTCTCTGTATGACTTTGAATGCTCGCTCATAGGTTAATCGGATATGTTTGTACCACTTGACTTTTGTTAGGTAGACATGTCAGTTTGCTTTTGATATGAATGTGCTCTACCAATTGAGTGTATGTTATTATTATTCGTCGATAAACAAACATATACATTAAAATGATAGATATGTGCTTGCTTACTTACTGTACACAAAACATAACACAAAATGAATTTTCATATACTGTGTCTGTCTACCGATTAAAACTACACAAACTACACCAACACATAAAAATTATGCACAACTACCAGGTCACATACTATTTTTTTAAAATGAATAAATAAAAAACAAATGTCTAAAATATGTTTATTTTCTTATTTGTATACACCAAATTGGTGTATCATAATTTCCAATTGTACCATGGATATAATTGGTACAACATCTGTAACAATATAACAAGAAGAGGGGAATAATATATCTATATACATATATATATATATATATTCATATCAATATCATTATTGCATGATCGTTGAGAAAAATGTCATTACTGCAAAACTATTCTTAGTTGTATACATATATATATGTACACATAGATTGAGAAAAGGAAGTTTATTTAACTAATCATGAATTACTTACTGTTTATTTGAAAAAGAGGTAAAAATTAAACAGAAATTTATATTCTTTTATTCTATTGATCTAAACTTGTCTGATTGGAAGAAAACACACATAGGCATGTGTGTGTGCGTGTGCGTGTGTGTGTGCGTGTGTGTGTGTGCATTACACGTACACACGCATAAGTTAAATGTAACTGGTCACACAGAGTGGAGTGTGCACAGATAGAAAGAGAGAGTGGAAAAAGAAAATCTGGACGTTGACATTCGTCTATTTCAGAGAGTGCACATCTATATCGACCTATCGACTTTCGCATACGATTATCAGATGTATGCACACAGCTTATATACATAAGTATATATATATATATATGTATATGTAGATAGATGTACACTACTGTAAACTAAACAATCATTTCAAATCAATAGAGTTGTCTTCTTTTGCCTAATATGCCCAAACAAATATATATATATATGGATATATACTTATATATCACTGTGAATAAGGCACAAACAAATCTTTTTTTTCAATAATCAAAATATATATTTTTGATTGTTTCCACTCTAAGTAGTGAATATTGGAATGTAACAGCAGTAACAATACTGTGGCAAACTTGCTATTTTCCCGAAAGCACTGAATACAAATACAAATAACCATTATTATTATTGTTGTTAGAAGCAGAAACAGATTTGATGCAAATTTAAACAGGAAACTTTTTATTCCCTTGAACAGGATATATTATTACATTTTCAGTTTTAAATGAATTTTTTTCTAATCCACCTTCATTCATATGATTTCTAGTGCTCATGTATTTGTGCATTCATTTTAAACAATGAACATGTATATTATCATTTATCAATCAATGAATCAGTAGTTCATTCATCAATTGTAGTGATTCTAATATCAGCTTTAGTTTTCTTTTTCCCTAATCAATTTCATTGTAAGTTGAATCATTTCACATATATGGATTTGTTATTTGAATACGTTTTTTGATTAGGTTGCATTTTTTTGGGGGGTTAGAAAAGATAATTATTATCATTATTTAAGTGAAAATGTGTAAGTAGGTCTATGATGAAGAATTATAATTGATTATTATTGATACTTTGGCTAAACTACTGAGCTGCTATCTAAAGTTTCCCAACTTTAGTTAACCTTTACTAAACAAAGTGAATAGATTGATCACTGATCTAATTCTCTATTCATTTCACTGCATGGATAAAAATAAATTCTTCTTAGAAATTTAAAAATTAAATTCTATTATTCAATTGGTTTTCTAATAGAGAAAGAAATTGTTATTATTACTTGTTCAGAGCTATATTGCTCTTATTTGTTCTATTTAAATCATGATTCGATCAATGTCAGACCATCATTAGATGACGTGAAAGCACTGAAAGACAGCTGTTACGTCCTGGTATGAGACTCATCAGCAGTGGCAGTGCGCATCCACGACTCCGGCACCTCACAGAATTCGAACTCAAGACCTTCGGTCTGAGTGTGAACACTTAACCTCTGGACTACTGAGCCAGTTTTTAACGGTGTTAACGGTGTCTAACTTCGATCAATTCTATTCCCGTTAATATTGGTTTATAGTAAATATTGATTCTAAAGAATTAGACTCAT